CTTTCAGTGCTATCAGGCTAAAGTTAGCATTTTCCAAGATCTCCTACTGCACCTTTAAACCGCATAAACACATTTCATTACACCAAATTCACAAAATAATGTTCTTTTTAGCAACATCATATGACCCCTTTAATTCTGTTGAGTATATTACAGTAATTTTTCAACGCAGTTTGTTTGAAAACTGTTCCTTACGTTTATGATGTTTTATTTTTTTTTGTGCATTATATACCACAGCTGAACTCGCACAAGGAGGCACCAACCTAGTACTGGCCAAGCCCTCGCCCCCCATGCCCCCCAAAAGAACCACACCTGTCACCAAACGCAATGCAGAGGACTCCCCTCTGACCATTTCCTCCCTTCCCTCCATTCTGTCCGAGGACATGAGGGCCAACATCCCCGGGGGCTACCAGCTGCCCCCGCCTCCCCCATCCCCACCTCTCCCCACACACATCCCCCCTTCCCCACCACGGGCCCACACCCATCATCTCCTCCACCAACACTCCTACCCCTACCCCCTGCCCCAGCCACTCCCTGTCCACTTTGACCCTCCTAGCCCGCCGGAGGAACCACCAGCCCATCAAGCCCCCGTTCCCTTACACATTATGATCCAGAGGGCGCTCAGTAGCCCAGGACCCACTCTCCCACACCCAGATGGCTCCCAGCGTGCCCACTCACTGCTGTTTGAGACGCCACCGGAGAACCAGGGCAGCCGCCCACTGCCAGTCACCATCCAGCCTCTCAAACTGTGAGTGAAATCTGGGCACTTTCTATACTTATTAATAGAGCTGCCAATCAAAAATTTAATTCTAAATTAAAATAAATGTTTTTAAATATAGTTTTGATGCTGAATGTTTTTTTAGAAAATAAAGAAGCACTTTAAAAAACCTTAGTAATGATGTTAAAGTTTGATTGAAATGAAAATTCACTGTAGTTTGTAGATGCATATTATAGTTCTTATTGTGAACAGATCATCTATGTATATTAAATATAATTTATATATGTATTACATTCCAACAACCTCTACTGCTGAAGCCAAATTCTCTGTAAGGTTGTAGTTTTATTTTTTTCATATGTGTGTGTATATATAAGAAGAAGAATATACATATAAAATATAAATCTAAATAAAAAATTGAGCCTGTAAATTAAATGTAAATTATATCTTTTGTAAGCAACAGTTACAATTATTTATAAAACAAATTACAAGGCAAGCTTACATTACTAAACCTATGTAGAGAGACACTTATAATTACTTGTATTTTAAACTTCTCAAAGAAAATAATATACTACATATCATGTTTTCATGATATATTTTTCCATGTGGTCCCCAGAAACTTTTGTGCCAAAACATCACGGGTCAAATATAGTTTTATAACAACCCCATGATTTTAATTATTTATTTTTTTATTAACTTTTATCAATTTTAACTTAAATTTTCTGCCCTTTCTTTTTATAATCTTGCAGCTGCTTGATATGAATAAAAATCCTCCATAGACATTTGGGAGATGCTGGTTCAAATCTGTCCTGCATTATGTGGCTCTGATTCCCTTTTTCTCAAAAATAAAAAGTGTATTTTCTTGACGCTCTCTGACAGTTAAAAGGTTGCAAAAACAGTACATTTATATGCATATAAATCCTGTGTGAAATAGATTTTTTTATTTTTGCAGGGATGAGGATGACTACTCCGATGAAGAGGAGGAGGAAGAGGATGATGACGACGATGATGAGGAACCTCTACCTGATCACCTTCCATCCCCTCAGTCCCAGCCAGAACTTGAGCCTCGTAGCCGCAGATGCCTGGTGGGGGATCTGAGCGTCAGCGTCATCCCTGAAGGAAACAACAGCAGCGAGGAGGAGGAAGATGAGGAAGATCGTCAGCCGGAGGAGAGCGACTCGGATGGGCCTGTGCTATACAAGGACGATGAATCGGATGAGGATGACGATGACGACAGCCCACCAAGTATGTTAACAGCTTTTTCTGCTTTATATTGCATGTAAGTCTCCTTTGTTCACAAAGGCTGCATTTATTTGATCAAAAATACAGTAAAAACATTAATAATGTGGAAAAATTATTACAACTTAAATGAACTAGTCATTATCTAGTCTTCAGTGTCACATGATTCTTTAGAAATCATTCTATTGCACAGCTCAAGAAACATTTCTTACTGTTATCAATGTTGGAAAAAAGTTGTGATGGTTAATATTTTTGTTATTTGTATTTTTTTTTATTAAAGTTTAAAATAACTGATAAATTAAGTTTTAAAATAACATTTGTACATTTTGTTTTAAAAACATTTGTGTCTGTGTTTAGAAAGCGCCTTCTGATGCCTGTATTAATTTAACAGTTTTTTTGTAGGATCGTATACTCAGACTGTCTATATAAAAGAGAGCCAAACCTTCTGACTGCATGTGTGTGCGCATGTGTGTTTGCTCGCTGCAGGTGCTCTGGCCAGCAGGGTGAAAAGGAAGGACACGTTGGCGCTGAAGTTGAGCAGTCGGCCCTCTGCCCCAGACAGGCAGGCTCCTGAGAGGCAGGCCAAAGTAGAGCACACGGGTCTGTCGTGGCAGAGCAAGGAGCAGTGGGAGGCCATCCGCACACAGATTGGTAGCGCACTCACACGGTAATAGCTCTCTCAGCTACACACACCTCACATAAATGCAAATTACACTGAAACTGATTTACTGAATATGAACACAGCTGTGAATCAGCCATAGGTTGATAGTCAGTGCAAGAAAAACCAACAAGAAACAAGAAGTTTGGATACGTACATATTTTTTTATACATGTATATGTATGTATGTATGCTGTGTGTGTACATATACTTACTGCCTATATATAAATGTATATAAATATTAAATTACATATTTTTTCTATATAAATGTATATTTTTAGTATTATTTATTATAATTAAAATTATTATAATTATTTAAATATAATTAAACTTTTTTTTATTAATATATATTTAAATATTGTATAATGTGCAATAAGAATATATGAATAATATGAGATTTTCTTTTTTTTTTTTGTCTGTAGGCGATTGAGCCAGAGACCTAGTGCTGAGGAGTTGGAACAGAGAAACATTCTCCAGCGTAAATTGCCTCTTTATACTGACTCCAGTTATTGTATTGTGATTTATCTTCGTGCTTCCGTTCTGTTCTGTCCCTTTTTCCTTGTTTCATTAGTTACTCATTTATTCCCTCAGTGTTCACTGAAGGATTGACACTGACCAATTTTTTTTTTTTTACTCTGTCTCTATTGGTTTCATATGCCGGCAGATATTACTGATACTTTCTGCTAAATAGAGTGAAGTTCTTGCTTTTGTTTCTCTCAAATGAGCCTATGAGTTTTAGTTTGTGATACTTTGTCTATAGGAAGTGAAATTAGATCCAAAATACTTTGTTGTCCTCATTTATTTTGTACTTCAATGCACTAATAGTTTATCATGCTCCACATAATTTTCCTATGAAATTGGATTTGAATCAGCCTGATTGGTGTTGATGGTATCTCTCATTTCTCTCCAGCCAAAAATGAAGCAGACAGACAAGCAGAGGTCAGGGAGATCAAGCGCAGACTCACCAGAAAGGTGCGATTTGGTTTGCTTGCATTACATTTCACCTGGAATATAATATGAAAGGATTAATTCACTTCCAGAATTCTCCAGAATTCATTCACCCCCATGTCCATCCAAGATGTTCTTTCTTCAGTCGATAAGAAATTAAGGTTTTTGAAGAAAACAATCCAGGATTTTCATCTATATAATAGACTTCAATGGTGGCCAATGGGCTGAAGGTTCAAATTGCAGTTTCAGTGCAGCTTAAAAGGGCTCTACACGATCCCAGCCGAGGAATTAGGGGTCTTATCTAGCGAAACAATCGGTCATTTTATTTAAAAAAATGTATATACTTTTTAACCACAAATGCTCATCTTGCACTAGCTCTGTGATGCGCATCTACGACTTCACGCATTGCGTAATCACATTGGAAAGGTCACACGTGGATAGCTCTTTGAGCGTTTGACTTTTTCTTTGCACGTTCGCTTTGTAAACACTGGGTTGGTACTTCCGCCTACGTCACACGTGACCTTTCCAACGTGACTACGTAATGTGTGAAGTCGAGCTAGTGCAAGA